TGTGTGTGTGTGTGTGTGTGCGTGTGTGTGTGTGTGTGTGTAATTCCACACAGGTAGGAGCTTTTGTCCGCTCGAAACGAGCGAAAAGGCAAGGTAGAAAAGTACAAGTTGACTCATCCGTATTTCTTCCACCTCACTGTAAAGACCAATCTTCACCACCTCTGTCCACATTGGACCGAGATGGACAAATAATCCTAAATATCACAGTAACTATGATAGAGATAGTTGTATAGTAATATAGTCTTTCAAAATGGAGTGATAAGTAACCTACGTGGTAAATTTTAGGTCCCTGAAATGTGGCTCGTCGGTGTTAAGACCACTGAGGATTTGATGAGAACGAAAGTTCCAAATCCACATTGATTCTCTTTAATTTAGATTTTCGTTTTTAGGATCACGCACTATTTCAATGCCCTGAAGCTGCAGGTCGGAGGCTCCACTGTGACCAGGGCTGTTGAAATGTTGGCGACTGGTGTGCATGAGCTTTCTGTACTGAATACCTATGGTTATTGAACCTAGCTCTTGGTATGTTGGTAGTTTGACCTACATATTGGGCTGGACCAAGCGCGGTTCGTCCATAGAGCACGATCGTGCAGTGCCCGCCAAAACGTTTTTAAAATTCTGTTACGTAAAACACCCACAATAATAAAGTAAAAGAAGTCAGAAACAAAGACTAGCTATATGTTATATTAAAACAAGGTCCTCACTGTTGCCATAACTGTCATTTCTGTATTTACAGCGCCGTAAAACATCTACTATGAACTATGCCCTGCAAAAGTCAACGCGCTTTAGCTTTACATAATAAGATATTCAACAGTGTAAGCTGAACTATAAATCGCTCTTGGGGATAACCCAAGCGGTGACGACACTTGTAGCGAGTTTGGCAGTACATAAATATTAATAAGTTGTTATAGCTTGTAGTCATTAGATTTTCCATTAATTTTTTGTACATGTTCTTGGAGAAGCCGTTCACAGGGCAAAACGTTGAACTTATATTAAATTTTAAAAACCTACTAAGTCTCAAACCCTTTTTTATTCCCTGCTACCTACAATGATGATGATGATGATTATAATAATAATAATAATAATAATAATAATAATAATAATAATAATAGTAATAATAATAATAATAATAATAATAATATAACAGTAATAATAAATAATAATAATAGTAATAATACTAGTAATAATACTAATACTAATATTACTACAGTACTACTACTATTAATAATCATCATCATCCCAATAATAATAATAATAATAATAATAATAATATTAATAATAATAATAATAATAATAATAATAATAATAATAATAATAATAATAATAATAATAATAATAATAATTATAATAATTATAATACAATTATTAATATGATCATTCTTCTTCTTCTTCTTCTTCTTCTTCTTCTTCTTCTTCTTCTTCTTCTTCTTCTTCTTCTTCTTCTTCTTCTTCTTCTTCTTCTTCTTCTTCTTCTTCTTCTTCTTCTTCTTCTTCTTCTTCTTCTTCTTCTTCTTCTTCTTCTTCTTCTTCTTCTTCTTCTTCTTCTTCTTCTTCTTCTTCTTCTTCTTCTGTAAGTTTCTCTTACCGCGGAATGTCATCGTGTTTGAATCAACATCACAGAAGTTTGGAAGTATTTTTAGAAGTATCCCAGCATGTCCCTTGTCCAGTATAATAAATGGAAGAGAATAGGTAGGTATGAAAATAATCCCAGCCGACCAAAGCAGGAGCCAGCAATGTCAGCAGCTGTACACTGTACAGGAGTGAAGCGGTGACTGTGATAACGCTGGGCCTCTTTGCGGCAGTCTGGTGCATACAAAACGACAACCTGGGGCTAGGCCTAGATCTTGTTCGCTTGTGGGCTGGTTAAAGGAACAGCGGCGGTTGACCTCAATGTTTCATATTACTTGCCGTATTGAGCTGTTATCTTTGTCGCAGTCTTCTAACGTGGCGTAATCGCGCACACAGTATCGGATACAGCTAGAACAGATACACGTTACATTTTGTCTCCATTTTCAATCATAATTTTAATCATCAACATTATTTTTTCAGGTTTAAAAAAAAAATTAAAAATTTTCATTTTTAGTGACAAATTCCAGTAATTAGATTTCCACACAAAAATAGTAATATGAATATGCACCCATCCTTGTCTCAAGCTTAGTATCCCGTGGTTGACGTGCCCTGTGGTGGAAGTGTTTTCTATCGAAAATGATTCAGCCGCTGAAGCTTGTTTATATACACCAAACAAAATAATCGAGAAAAATAGCTCATTTGAATTTCATTCCCACTTTCGGAAATAAGCAATTGTAACGATTCAATCTGCAGTAAACATGCTAGTCTTGGGATTTCTTAAATAGTATATTTAACTAAAAAATGTGAAAATGGTGAAAATTGTGAAAATTGTGAAATGGTATTGGTTCAACTCCCCTTTCAACGCCATTAGGTTATTTAATAGGCGGGACCTCCGAGTTTAACGTCCCTCTCCGAAAGGACTGAACCATGTGGGAAATTCCTGTAAATCGCCTTTCTCGAGGAAACAACTTTGGACTGAGCTGAGGCTCGAGCCCCCGAACCCGCAATCTGCATGAAGGCGTTGACCTCAAATTCACAGCGCAGACCTTGATACATTACTTCAGATTCAAAATTAACCATTTAAAAAACTAATTTGCTGGATGGAGTTCAAATGGTATCAAATCACGATTCTCGCCGGCCACTTTGCGTATTATTTTAATGCGCTAGTACCGAAAATAAAATCAGTTTTTAGTTGTAATAAAAACATTTTCGAAAACATTGCTCGCATAGTTTTATGCCAATGGCCGAAAAACTCTAAAGAAATTCTGTGTCCCAGCTCACCTGCTCCTCTCCATATTATCAACAGTACCACCAAGACCAAGTATTTGCAAATCACAATCGCTGTTCCCAGAGCAAACTTTTTCCTCATTTCAAAAACACAAAGGAAGTTTTCGGGTCCCACGCGATCGTGGGATAAGCCGGCCATTGGCCCACATTTTGTCAGCGCTAACTTAAAAAGAGCACAGATGCATCAATCTTTACTTCCCTTTACATCACTTCAGGTGAGCTGTGTTGCTTCCAATTCGATTTCTTAACTGCAGTGTGAGCCTTCCGAAAAAGAATTTCAACAAAAGTGAGTGATTTAGAAAATGGTTCTTGTTTTGTTGGTCAAATCACCTCTGAGCATGCCCTGAAACAAGGGCGTTCGGTAAAAGTAAAAATGTAAGTTAGTAAGTCCATATAAGTAAGTTTATTCAGTGTTTAAGGCCATTGGCCCACATCACATTGCATAAAACACTCATTCGTTAAAAATAACGTGTCCATAATGAAAACGTACAAGTTGTGCACATATCTCTTTTCATGGTGTCAAACATTGCATACTATTTCTATCACTGGGCCGGGTCAGACGTTCATAATCAACAATGAACCGTATGCCTAACATTCAAAAAGGTTTCACTGCCACAGATATAGCCTGCTCACCCCTCTCGGGCCACTCCATAAGCAGTCACAAGCTTTGATTAAGTAAGCTTAAAGTGAAGCTGGAAGAGTCTACCATTAGAGTTGAAGGGAACATGTCCATAGCAGTCAAAACAGTTTTATTGCCACAAATATACCCTGTTCACCCCTTTGGGGCCACAGTCATAAGCAGTCACAAACTCTGATTATGTAAGCTAACTATTACACTGGTCAAATCTACCTCACAGATGTGAGGGGAGCTAACTCCTAACAATCTCTTGACTGCTGCCAGTGCTTGCTTTTTTTCCTCGACTTTTTACCGTCCTATAATCAGATCATGACCCCGATTATCACACCGCCTCCTGGCCGCGAAAGACTAGACAAAAACAGCCAAATGTGAAATTTAAAAAAAAAGGATAATTGTCATGTTCTACCAAAGACTCACGGGTAGATCTATAACATATAGATCTAGTACTGACATCTCTGCTTCTTTGCTTTGTGTTTGTGTATTCACATCTAAAGTTAAATTCAATTTTAGTTGGAATTAATATTCAATAAGATACTTCCACGATTATTTTGGCGGTTGAACATACAATATGAATTCCGGATTTGTTTTCAGTTTTCATTCAAAATTCACAACTCCGAGTCGCCGCCTCGAGTAAGATTCTTGTGTGATAATAATAATATCTCCAGGCCATATCTGGTCCCGTTTCACTTTGATTACCCTGTCAAACAAGTCAGCCTTCGCCCCTGAAACGATCGTTCATCGAAAAGACATCTGCAATCTTCATTTAGATCTAGATCTAGATCTAGGCTAGCCTCGAAAACTCGAAACTAGATCAATGATTTATGTCTGTCTGTCTAGATCTAGACCTAGGCCATAGAATAGATCGAGAAGAACCTAGGTCTACCATAGTGTAGAATTCTGTGGTCTACCCAGAGCCAAGAGGGTGCTGAAACTTTCCGAATTAAAAAAGTTCCCCTGCCGGGTCTGTATACTTAGTGACTTTGTTCCCGGTTACCGGGTCTGTATACACTCCCATGAAAAAAATACCCGAGTATCTGTCGGGTACCCGATATTTCAATTATCATTTGGGGGGAGAAGGGGTGGTTGAATTTTTTGTTGGTTTTTGTATTTTGTTGTTGTTATTTGCTCTTTTTTATTGTTTGTTTTGTTGGGGGGTTTTTAAACTTTAATTTTGTGTTCAAAATCAACACAAATTGCACACAACGAAGTAAGCGTATACAAAAATGGGGAATTCAAGACATTGGGTTTAACACAACTCTCAATGAAGTCAACGACTTGACGACACAAACAAAAGGCAAGGAAGGCAGACAAAACATATTACTCGTGCTTGACTGCGAAAGAGGGGGGGGCCAATCATTTCAAATTTTTGTTTAAAAATAAAATTGTGTCCACATGTTTTTCCCCAAGACAGGTCCTCTTGGATGAAATCAATTCCCCAGCCTTGCAGAAGAGCCGTTCTCACGGCACAGATTACAGTTGCTGGAATAGCCCAAAGCTTTTTGGCTTCCTGGCTAAGTTCCAGACAGGTCTTTTCATACTTACTCCACCAGGTCAGTGGATTGTCCTCTCCCCTTCTGGCAAGGGGATTCTCACAGTACCGATTTAGTTGGACGGTGGCACTTGTTTGTGGAAGAGATATTTGCCTATGCTCTTCTGCTTGCACGTTGAAGGCTTGCCATAACGATTTTTTTTTTTGCAGGAGATTGTTTCTACAGCTGAAACCGATGATGAGCCTGGCGTTTGATCAGGCCTGTCTCCTTGTTTGTCTCTAATCATTGAAAGAAGGCGAGTTTCTATTTGTTTCGTTGTGCCTTTCACTGAAGGAAAGCCGTTTGAAACAGGGGGTCGAGGATAGTTGATGCTGCCTCAAAATACGTGTCCTCAAGTTGTATGAAGCGCTAATTGCAAAGCTCAGACTGCAAAAGAACTGCCAGTGGCCAATATCGATCGAGTACCCTACTCTATCGACTATGAGAGCTCAGTGTCTATAAGTACTCAGTACTTATTAAGGTTCGAACAAAGGGGCGTAATTTAAGTGCATTTGCATATGATTTAACGGAGGGGAGTAGAAAACCCTGACCCGACAGAATACCCGGGTAGCCGGTTTTGAACTCTTTTTCCGGGTACCTGGGTAACTAACTGGGTACTTGCCCAGCTCTACCACTGACACAGGGTGCATTAAAGTAGAACCAAATTGAGAAGGAAAAAACCCAATTAATTGTTCCACAGACATGATAAAGAGGCTGAAACAGCACCTGGACATGGATGGCTGGTGCCTCTATAAATACATGTAAATGATTGATGGTCAGGTCAAGGTCATACCAACATTAAGATCATGCAAGCCAAAGAGGTAATATTCTGTACTAGAGTTCGTGACAGTGATGTCCTCCACGTAAACGAGCCGGGGCTGCGGGTGCCCACTCTGGGACGCTGAACCTCAAGGGCAAGACATGCACAGTTCAACAGACGGATGAGTACTTTTTGAGACTTTGGTAGAGGCGTCTCGGTGGTCTTGCACTGAAATATGGGGGCAGGATGGTGGTTAATACACTAGAGCTCGTGGGGAGCGGGGTAGGGGCTCAGATTGTTCTTGTAAATGGGTGAACGCCGGCCATGCTGATGAGGGTAAGAAGGCCCCCATGTCTGACATGTGTGACGTCACCGCTGCGAGCTCTAGTATTATATATAACGACTTTAGGAACAAGCACACCCTGATGGAATGTCCAGACTTTTGACTCTTTAGTGATCCAAGGAATATAATCGTAACTAATATACTGATTTAAAAAATTCGTTCCCCACCACTGGTCCCCATTAAATTCTCAATTTCTGAAAGGCCTTTGGATGGTGCTTTAAATGTGTCACGAAGTGGTGGAATCAGGCGCTCTTCAATTTTTGGGTATGTGGAGTAAATGATGATTTACAGTGGAACTCGGGTTCAACGAGGTTGCCGGGCCTGACCTAAAATCTCGTTGAATCCGATTGTTCGTTATAAGTAGAAAGAAGGGGTCTAGATCCCCCCCCGTTTTAGGTAATGATTTAAAAACTGCCCGTTTTAGGTAATGATTTAAAAAAAACTCCCCGTTTTGGGTAATGATCTAAAAT